ACAGTATAGTCTGAGTACATTAAACATGCCGCACGAAAGGTGTATGAGCTTCGGCGTGTGGTTATTTTTCTCTGAAAAAGGCGATTTTTCCGACTAAGTGTAGATTCATCCACCTGCACTCATAATTGGCTAATTTTCATAGCAGCTAATATGGGGGCCACACGCCGTGTGACGCATAACAACCAATGGAAATAGGGCGTCGATGTATATATCAGCTGCTCTGCTACTGAGATTTGCACTTTCGATTCAGTTTCTTTCAGTTTGCAATGACTCAGCGTTCACAACATCACTTGATATTCCACGTAGGTGAGTTGCCTCATTGTCTATTACTTTTTTGTCAGAATTAGAGAAACAGCTTTTCAATTTGTTCCTCTCATGTGTTTGTTTATGCTTGGTGTTTGCATTGCTTGTCATACACCTGTTAATATTTTTGCAGGGAAAATTTACAAACACAGTCTGCTTTGCTTTGTGACAGCATAGGCATTCGGGTTGTTTCTCATCCTTGATTCGCACACCAATTCCAGCAGGATGCTCTCCCCACAAGACTCATATTTAGACCTTGTGTCATTAAATCTGCGTGAATAAGCAATCCAAGGCAAAATACATGTAAAATTTCTATTCTAGTCATCGACTAAACGGCTTGTGGAGACACGGGTCGTGCAAATGTGTGTCGAGAGCTCGCGTTTTGCCTACGTGGTGAGCTGCAGAGTAAAGGACATTTGAAAAGGCAACTTGGATAGAATGCACACCTGTTGCAAATGTAGGTAGTGGGGTGGCGTATGTGTCCCATTGATCATTGCAATTTTCGGGCATGGCTTGATATATTGGCGAGTCAAATAGTCAACATGGGGTTATTGCTGAAATATCAACTTCAGTGCTGTTCTGGATTTTTCAAAGGATTACGACCAAACAACAGCTCAACATGAACGTGATACTTGCTTTCACATTACACCGTGATTCGTTTGACTGCGACACAGCGCATTTGAGGAGAATTTGGGATGTGGTGCCTAAGAGAGGATGTGGGGGGAGCAGACGCAATGTATTGGGCTCGTTCGTATTACCGATCTGCCTTCTTAGGCAATTTATTAAATTGTATCAAGCCAACAGTATCAGCAGACGGGCTCACTGATATCTGTTTTAGCAAACACATTCAATTGCTGCTTTGTCATTGCATTTATGAAACTAACGCTGCTTTTCTCATTGACTTTGCCTGCGCTGAAGTCATCGACATTAACCTCTGCTTTACACATTCCCACACAGCATAACGTCACAGATTCAGTACACATAACTATGCATTTCCGTTGTTAGCTAGGAGGACATAATTTTTTTTCCGAATCGTATAATGGCGAATCGTGTTTTATTTAATTTTCAGGGGATTCGCAACTTATCCGATGTTTGCGTCGACAGGACGGCAGTTGCATTTTCATCTTCATAATAATAATTGGAGCAATGCTGATTACCTTCAATAATCACAACAAGCTTGAAATTGCCAAATCACTCACAGGCTCTTCGTTGAAATCAGCAAAGTTCTTCGCGAAAATCAACTCTCCTGCTCACCCACACTGTCTCCAGTTCCGACAGGGTTTTGCCATACCAGTCGATCCCCAAGTTGACATGGATATAGCGTTCACGTTGGTTGTGCACAAGGACGTTGGTCAAATTGCTCGACTCCTTCGAATGATTTACAGACAAAACAACTACTACTGCATTCATGCTGACAGCCGTTCAGACTGCTTATTCATAGAGGCCCTGCTTGGCGTGGCGACGTGTTTCGGTACAAATGTGGAATTAGTTCCATATGAAGAGCGCGTGGAAGTACATTGGGGTTATGAATCGGTCCTGGTTCCACAAATTACCTGTGCCAAACAGGCGTTGAGAAGTCATGCTACGTGGAAGTACCTGGTGAATTTGGTTGGACAGGATTTCCCACTTCGAACCAACATGGAGCTGGTGGCTGCACTGAAAGCACTCAATGGATCCAACCTCGTCGAATCTGTTGAACTATGCAAATTTGCGTTTCGGACAAATAACAGGCCACTACCATTGGGGGTGAGTGGCTAGTTATTGCTTTTGACGTCTTGGTTTCTCTCTGTGAAATTACACTGCTTGACATTCTACAAAGAAGCATTGAGTAAAGTTAAGTTTCTGTGCTTAACTAACAATTCAAGGCACTTGGCATCATTTTAAACGTCCCGTAGTTGTGCAGAATTGCAGTTGCATTAAACCTGAGGCATGTGATATTTGCATTGTCAGCCACACAGCATATCGAACTTTTCATGTTGCAGGCAACATGGTACAAAGGCTCAATCTACGGCGCAATTCCAAGGGAATTTCTCCACGAAGCAGTCATGGGAACAGCTGTCGGTCCCATTCGTAACCTAATGCTTGAGCCTAATTATATTAGGAATCCCGACGAGTTCTTTTTCCCAACTCTCGCTTACAACAGCCATCTTCACCTGCCTGGAGCTTGTCTGCATAGCCCAGCA